AGTTTTATATTTATATTTGGCTAATGATAAAGGGCGATAAGATTCAGTAATTTATGACTGTGAAATTGTTTGTTTCAAAGGCCTCATAAAACAGTCAGAAGACAAAGCTCGGAGTACAGTTTGCGGTCTATTGCATAACAATAAATACATATCAAAAATAATTTTCAGCAAGCATACAGTAAACATAAGTATTTTTAAGCAGATTATACAATGAGTTTCTGCTAAAATATGAAGCATAATAATCAACATGAAATTGTCGGCTATTTTGGTAGTTTAAGGTAACAGCAACTGACAGTCAAATAATCCATTAGAATGTATTGTTTAGTTATGGCAATGGCAATTCTTCTAGTTATGTGTAAGATTTAATTTGCAGTTTTTTATCAAATATTTATCAAGTTGGCCAATCATACATACATTTTGAAAAACATATAAGAGAGTAGAAGATAAGCAAAGTTTGTCGACGCTTTGGTTATAGAATGGAAGAACTCAATAAAAACTTAATCGTTTGCCAATAAAAGTTGGATTGCGTTGAGGAAGATAGTGAAGCAAACTAGAGTTTCAAGCTGAATGTTGGTAGTTCGAAGATGTTAAATTCATAAGACAAAAGCTTGTAAATTTGTTTAGATCATAACATTTGTAACGAGCCTAATTTAAGGAGCGCCTATCTCGGCGGCATTTACTGCTTCCTTTCGTCACTTCCTGGAATGCTCGGTTCTTCTTTTTGCAAGTAGAAGATTTATACCGAAAAATGTTTCTATCCAGTGTCACATGGACTGTTCAGAATATGGTGAAAATAGCGGGATCAGTGGTATTATTGTTGCGTGGTGTAGTGCTGTTATTGTTGCGCGGTGTAGTGGTTTCACTTGCACGAGTACAAATACTCCAACTTGCATATGTATGTACTATAAAAACATAAATATTTGTATGTTAGGTGCGACCGTAGCCATTGTTTCATTGCTTGGAAGAGGTGTACATTATTTCATTGCACATGTTAAAAGATCGTGGTTTATTTCGAAAATTTAATCTATTAACGTAAATCTTCCTGGTACGATTTGGGTCCCATTTAAATTTGACTGGAATTAGAATACCTTTATCCATTTCTTCAGACAGTTATTTTGATGGATTATTTTTGAAAAATATATGTATGGTCTGGCCTTTGCATTATTCCTATCTGTAACTCACGGGAGAATGCATATTTACTTTGTAATCCATGGTGTAACATAATTTGGTCTCCAACGTATTCTTTCATGGTCCAATAATTGTTTGTGGAGGTGTATCCGAATACTATCCGATACTTATGCGTATGCGAACACCCATCGCCGGAATCACGATTTTTATTGAAACTATTTTACCAAAATTTTCAAATTTGATTTTCGCAGAGAATTGAACTTATCGTTTTGATATTTTTACGTATTCACTTAAACACAAATCACATGAATGCTATTCTGAGCTCTGCCTACTTTGTTTCAACAAATTTTAGAATTTGTGGTAGCTAGGTATAAAGTAATATTTGTCAGCATAACCCCGTTTTCATTCAGATCAAGGAAAGATTGGGGATTATAAATCCGGGGTTCATTTCGGTCAAGCAGAGATGGTATTAATATAAGAACATAAAATTATCATAAGAGGTATATCAGAGGTATTGATGATGTTGAGAAATCACATTCCGTAAATTAATTCCTGCTCTCTCCTTAAACTATTTGTACGCACCCTACCTATTTAGGTTAGCTAATCCCTACCTATTATGGTTAAGAATACCATATCCTTGTTGTATGATACGAGGTAAATCGGTACGAGGTCAAATCATAGATAACAAGAGTCCGTAGCCGCAAATCTTAAGATTAAGGTTGAGAAATCAATATCCGTTAATAAATTCTTCGCCTCAGAGTTATCAAGAGATCAAAACCATCTTTAAAACTTTTTGACGCACCCTGCCTGTTTCAGTAAGCTACACTTCCTACCTATTATAGTGGAAAATCATATACATATGTATATTTGTCGTATGACACGAGGAAAAGTGGTTTTTAGCCATACGATTGTATAGATAACATAGGAGTCCCTATCCTAAAATATGCCAGTTGATTCTGAAATTCATTTCGGTCAAGAAGATTTGGAGAGATGGTCGGTATATAAGATGGTAAGTAGCGAGGCAAAATGGGTATTACTATAAGAGCATATACATATAATAATATGATGAATCCCTACCGATAATGTTGAGATATCACTATCCGTCAATTAATTCTTCGCCTTACAGCGATCAAGAGATCAAAACCATCTATAAAACATTTGTACGCACCCTATCTATTTTGGTGAGCTACAATTCCTACCTATTATAGTGGAAAATCATATATCCTTGTGGTTCTGGAATGTAGTTCTTATCCATAAGATTGTATAGATAACATAGGAGTCCCTATCCTCCAATATGTAAATAGTTTCCCGTTTTCTTTGCGATCAAGGAGACATGGAGATATGGTCAATAGGTAGAAGGGTATTTTGGTGAGCTACAATCCCTACCTATTATAGCGGAAAATCATATATATTTCGTATAGCGCGTTGGAATGTGGTTCATAGCCATAAGATTGTATAGATAACATAGAAGTCCCTATCCTCAAATATGTCAGTCGATTCGGAAATTCATTTCATTCAAGAAGAGATGGAGAGATGGTTGGTATCGAAGAGCTTAAGTCTCGAGGGAAAATGGGTATTACTGTACGATCATAGAAATATAATAAGAGTCCCTCCGTACCAATAATGTTGAAAGGTCACTGCCTGTAAATTAATTCGTCCTCTCAAACTGATCAAAAGATCAAAACATTTTTTTAAATATTTGTACGCATCCTACCTATTTTAGTGAGCTAAAATTCCTACCTATTATAGTGGAAAATCATATATATTTGTCGTATGACACGAGGGAATGTGGTTCTCAGCCATAAGATTGTATAGATAACATAGGAATCTTTATCCTCAAATATGTCAGTTGATTCGGAAATTCATTTCGGTCAAGAAGAGATGGAGAGATGGTTGGTATCGAAGAGCTTAAGTCTCGAGGGAAAATGGGTATTACTGTACGATCATATAAATATAATAAGAGTCCCTCCCTACCAATAATGTTGAGAGGTCACTGCCTGTAAATTAATTCGTCCTCTCATACTGATCAAAAGATCAAAACATTTTTTTAAATATTTGTACGCATCCTACCTATTTTAGTGAGCTAAAATTCCTACCTATTATAGTGGAAAATCATATATATTTCGTATAGCACGTTGGAATGTGGTTCATAGCCATAAGATTGTATAGATAACATAGAAGTCCCTATCCTCAAATATGTCAGTCGATTCGGAAATTCATTTCATTCAAGAAGAGATGGAGAGATGGTTGGTATCGAAGAGCTTAAGTCTCGAGGGAAAATGGGTATTACTGTACGATCATATAAATATAATAAGAGTCCCTCCCTACCAATAATGTTGAGAGGTCACTGCCTGTAAATTAATTCGTCCTCTCATACTGATCAAAAGATCAAAACATTTTTTTAAATATTTGTACGCATCCTACCTATTTTAGTGAGCTAAAATTCCTACCTATTATAGTGGAAAATCATATATATTTCGTATAGCACGTTGGAATGTGGTTCATAGCCATAAGATTGTATAGATAACATAGAAGTCCCTATCCTCAAATATGTCAGTCGATTCGGAAATTCATTTCATTCAAGAAGAGATGGAGAGATGGTTGGTATCGAAGAGCTTAAGTCTCGAGGGAAAATGGGTATTACTGTACGATCATAGAAATATAATAAGAGTCCCTCCGTACCAATAATGTTGAAAGGTCACTGCCTGTAAATTAATTCGTCCTCTCAAACTGATCAAAAGATCAAAACATTTTTTTAAATATTTGTACGCATCCTACCTATTTTAGTGAGCTAAAATTCCTACCTATTATAGTGGAAAATCATATATATTTGTCGTATGACACGAGGGAATGTGGTTCTCAGCCATAAGATTGTATAGATAACATAGGAATCTTTATCCTCAAATATGTCAGTTGATTCGGAAATTCATTTCGGTCAAGAAGAGATGGAGAGATGGTTGGTATCGAAGAGCTTAAGTCTCGAGGGAAAATGGGTATTACTGTACGATCATATAAATATAATAAGAGTCCCTCCCTACCAATAATGTTGAGAGGTCACTGCCTGTAAATTAATTCGTCCTCTCATACTGATCAAAAGATCAAAACATTTTTTTAAATATTTGTACGCATCCTACCTATTTTAGTGAGCTAAAATTCCTACCTATTATAGTGGAAAATCATATATATTTCGTATAGCACGTTGGAATGTGGTTCATAGCCATAAGATTGTATAGATAACATAGAAGTCCCTATCCTCAAATATGTCAGTCGATTCGGAAATTCATTTCATTCAAGAAGAGATGGAGAGATGGTTGGTATCGAAGAGCTTAAGTCTCGAGGGAAAATGGGTATTACTGTACGATCATATAAATATAATAAGAGTCCCTCCCTACCAATAATGTTGAGAGGTCACTGCCTGTAAATTAATTCGTCCTCTCATACTGATCAAAAGATCAAAACATTTTTTTAAATATTTGTACGCATCCTACCTATTTTAGTGAGCTAAAATTCCTACCTATTATAGTGGAAAATCATATATATTTCGTATAGCACGTTGGAATGTGGTTCATAGCCATAAGATTGTATAGATAACATAGAAGTCCCTATCCTCAAATATGTCAGTCGATTCGGAAATTCATTTCATTCAAGAAGAGATGGAGAGATGGTTGGTATCGAAGAGCTTAAGTCTCGAGGGAAAATGGGTATTACTGTACGATCATATAAATATAATAAGAGTCCCTCCCTTCCAATAATGTTGAGAGGTCACTGCATGTAAATTAATTCGTCCTCTCATACTGATCAAAAGATCAAAACATTTTTTTAAATATTTGTACGCATCCTACCTATTTTAGTGAGCTAAAATTCCTACCTATTATAGTGGAGATTTCGATTTCGAGACCGACTTGACGAGCAGCGACAAAGAGCTGCAGGAGTTTCTGATGATGGAAAAACAGAAGGCGCAGGTCAATGCACAGATACACGAGTTCAACGAGATCTGCTGGGAGAAGTGCATTGGAAAGCCCAGCGCCAAGCTGGACAGCGCCACAGAGACGTGCCTGAGCAACTGCGTGGACCGCTTCATCGACACATCGCTCCTCATCACACAGCGCTTCGCGCAGATTCTGCAGAAGCACGACATGTAAGTAGAAGATTTATACCGAAAAATGTTTCTATCCAGTCTCACATGGACTGTTCAGAATATGGTGAAAATAGCGGGATCAGTGGTATTATTGTTGCGTGGTGTAGTGCTGTTATTGTTGCGCGGTGTAGTGGTTTCACTTGCACGAGTACAAATACTCCAACTTGCATATGTATGTACTATAAAAACATAAATATTTGTATGTTAGGTGCGACCGTAGCCATTGTTTCATTGCTTGGAAGAGGTGTACATTATTTCATTGCATATGTTATTTCGAGAATGTAATCTATTAACGTAAATCTTCCTGGTACGATTTGGGTCCCATTTAAATTTGACTGGAATTAGAATACCTTTATCCATTTCTTCAGACAGTTATTTTGATGGATTATTTTCCTATCTGTAACTCACGGGAGAATGCATATTTACTTTGTAATCCATGGTGTAACATAATTTGGTCTCCAACGTATTCTTTCATGGTCCAATAATTGTTTGTGGAGGTGTATCCGAATACTATCCGATACTTATAAGTATGCGAACACCCATCGCCGGAATCACGATTTTTATTGAAACTATTTTACCAAAATTTTCAAATTTGATTTTCGCAGAGAATTGAATTTATCGTTTTGATATTTTTACGTATTCACTTAAACACAAATCACATGAATGCTATTATGAGCCCTGCCGTCTTTGTTTCAACAAATTTTAGAATTTGTGGTAGCTATGTATACAGTAATATTTGTCAGCATAACCCCGTTTTCATTCAGATCAAGGAAAGATTGGAGATTATAAATCCGGGGTTCATTTCGGTCAAGCAGAGACGGAGATATTGTCGGTATATAAGAGGGTACGTCATGAGGGAAAGTGGGTGTTAGTATAAGAACATATTATCAGAAGAGGTGTAAGAGATATATCAGAGGGATTGACGATGTTGAGAAATCCCTATCCGTAAATGACTTCCTGTTCTCATTGCGATCAAGAGATCAAGACCGTCTTTAAAATTTTTTTATGCACCCTACCTATTTTGGTTAGCTAATCCCTACCTATTATTGTTTAAAATCCCATATCCTTGTCGTATGTTACGAGGTAAAGGGGGTCAAATTATAGATAACAAGAGTCCGTAGCCGCAAATCTTAAGATTAAGGTTGAGAAATCACTATCCGTAAATAAATTCCTGTTCTCATTGCGATCAAGAGATCAAAACAGTCTCTACAATTTTTGTATGCACCCTACCTATTTTCGTAAGCTACAATCCCGACCTTTCCTACCTAGATAAAATAAAAGTCCCTATCGTCAAATATGTAAGTTGATTCAAAAATGCATTTCGGTCAAGAAGAGATGGAGAGATGGTCGGTATATAAGAGGGTAAGTCGCGAGGGAAAATGGGTATTACTATAAGGACATCAAAAAATATAATAGCAGTCCCTACTGATAATGTTGAGAGATCTCTATCTCTAAATTAATTCCTCGTCTTATAGCGATCAAGACATCAAACCATTTGTACGCACCCTACCTACTGTAGTGAGCTACAATCCCTACCTATTATAGTGGAAAATCATATATATTGGTCGTATGACACGAGGGAATGTGTTTCTTAGCCTTAAGATTGTATAGATAACATAGGAGTCCCTATCCTAAAATATGTCAGTTGATTCTGACATTCATTTCGGTCAAGAAGTGATGGAGGGATGGTCGGTATATAAGAGGGCAAGTAGCGAGGGAAAATGGGTATTACTATAAGAACATCAAAAAATATAATAACAGTCCCTACTGATAATGTTGATAGATCTCTATCAATACAATTTGTACGCACCCTGCCTACTTTAGTGAGCTACAATTCCTACCTATTGTAGTGGAAAATCATATATCCTTGTGGTTCTGGAATGAGGTTCTTATCCATAAGATTGTATGGATAACATATGTAGGAGTCCCTATCCTCCAATATGTAAATAATTTCCCGTTTTCAGACCCTATATATTTTTGTGAGCTACAATCCCTACCTATTACTGTGGAAAATCATATATATTTGTCGTATGACACTAGGGAATGTGGTTCTTAGCCATAAGATTGTATAGATAACATAGGAGTCCCTATCCTCAAATATGTTATGACAGTTGATTCCGGGGTTGATTTCGGTCAAGAAGAGATGGGGATATGGTCGTTGTGTAGAAAGGTAAGTTATATATAAGGGATAGATAAATATCATAAGAGTCTCATATTGTTCAAGAGATCTAAACCATATTGAAAACAGTTTTACGCACCCGATCTATTTTCTATTTAGAGTAGATTTAAGGGACCGATAGGTTAGTTAAGAAAGAAGGTCAGAACCCACGTCTACCATTTATAATACAATGATATACTTGTTTAGAAAAAAAATTTACTCATATCGTATTTTGGATTTTTTCATTGCTTCCCATTGGTGATTTAATTAATTCAATGCATTCCCAATATTAGTGGTCCGAGCGGTGGTAGAGGTTATATTAAAATAAATCAACTACTGTGAAATCGTTCCTCGTATTCAATTTTTTAATATCTGTAGTAGGAAGACCTTATCAATATACAGCCCCTGAGAATGGGTTCAGAGTATTTCAGTGATAATATGGTCCGCTTTGATATGGTCTTTTGAACCATCAGAGTGTATATAATGCATTTCGAAATCTCATTAAGATATACATACGTAACATTTTTTTGGCAATTATATAGGTAGTATAGGTTCCTTTTTAGTTTGAGCCCTTCTTAGGGTAGAGATGTTTAGATTGAGAATGGGGAAAGCCTTGTTTACATTTATAATTCGATGCAAGGCTCATAATATTTATATAATATTTACCACAGCAGATCTCTTGCAATAGGATAGGATATCTTGTTTTCATAGGATTTGATAAATTTGATCAGTTGATTTTTGCAGATTTTTAGATTTAGACATGTTACCGTGACTTCTTCAAACAATTTTTGTTTCGTGGTTTTATGATTTATATGTACATGATTTGTGCATGAAATTTCTGTATAATAGGACTTCTATAACAAGTAGGGAAGCATTGTTAATGAAGGTTTTGTTTTTGTGCTATATAAAATCATTCTAAAACACCAAAAACCATTTATACATATCAGTTGGAAACGCTATAGAGTACGAAGTCACATATTTATATCGAGTGTATACGATTATACTGGTAAATCATTAAAATTCAGGAAATCTTCGTTACAGAATTATCTCTATTTCGTCGTCGACAATTTTATTTTATCGGTGGTTTCTGCACGAGCGAACCGAGTAAGCAGGGAGCTTGCCCTCTGGTGAAAATATAAAATAGTTTTCAATACGTTCCATTGTTGAGTTCATAAAATATTTGTGTGTTGAAGTGCTGCTCTAATCACAGATGATTAGAATGGGAGTACAACTTTTGATCTAGTGTGTTCCAATAAAGGCATTTCAAACCAAGCGGACAGCAAGCTTTAGTATTTTTGAATATTAATTGTAATACAATAAAGGAAAAATATCCAATAGTGTTCGCTTGAGAAAGCTGCGCTTAAGGTAATGGGATCAAACAAAACCGTAAGCTTGTTACCACTGAGAAAATATTGTTTTGATTATTTTGGATAACATGATAACATGTCCATAGTGTCTTGCTGGTATCATGTAGGTGATCTAGGACGAAGCACAATGGAAATCAACAAAACAAGCATTTCTTGGAGGATGAACTTTGCACTGCAATGCAACTGGAATGGTAATTAATGCAATTTACATTTTATAATAATAATTTTACAATATATACTGCATGCAATATAGAAAATGCATATGGGATTGGAAGTTACTGTTTTGGTAATGTAATTGTACTCGAACAAATTCGAGCTACCATAGCAATTCTGTTTGTGTAAGGCATCCTAAAGTATTCGCACAATCTTTGCAAATACAGGTACCCAAATTTCCCCTTCATTCCAAATTATTCCACTACATCTTTCGATTCCTGAATTGGGGCTTTAATTGAAAGAATTTACGAATATTCCATAGATTGTTATAATCTTTGATATTTCATATTTCAGAGCAGTTGTGTTGAAATTTATTGCCTAACCTATTGCAGAACTTAAAGATTTTTCCATTTCCAATTAAGATTATACATATATTCGTTGTGCTGAAGATTTTTAGTTGACAGACGATACATAAAAAACATGTTTGTGTGATGGTTTTTTCAATTTTTTCTAGGCTTTGGTGGGGTATTTTGGTTATACATATATAAATATGATGAATAGAAAAAACTGCGAAGGACATTTCCTAAATACCAAGTGCAGTTGCGATAGATTTGTAGATAAAAAAGTTGAGTTAATCGGTCTATTGCATTCCAATAAATACGGTTCAAACATAATTTTCAGCAAGCATACAGTAAAAATCAGTATTTTTAAGCAGATTATACAATGAGTTTCTGCTAAAATATGAAGCACAATAATCAACATGAAATTGTCGGATAGTTTGGTAGTTTAAGGTAACAGCAACTGACAGTCAAATAATCCATTAGAATGTATTGTTTAGTTATGGCAATGGCAATTCTTCTAGTTATGTGAAGGATTTAATTTGCAGCTTATTATCAAATATGTATTTATCAAATTGGCCATTCATACATACATTTTGAAAAACATAGAAAAGAGTAGAAGATAAGCAAAGTTTGTCGACGCTTTGGTTATAGAATGCAAGAACTCAATAAAAACTTAATCGTTTGCCAATAAAAGTTGGATTGCGTTGAGGAAGATAGTGAAGCAAACTAGAGTTTCAAGCTGGAAGTTGGTAGTTCGAAGATGTTAAATTCATAAGACAAAAGCTTGTAGATTTGTTTAGATCATAACATTTGTAACGAGCCTAATTTAAGGAGCGCCTATCTCGGCGGCATTTACTGCTTCCTTTCGTCACTTCCTGGAATGCTCGTTTCTTCTTTTTGCAAGTAGAAGATTTATACCAAAAAATGTTTCTATCCAGTGTCACATGGACTGTTCAGAATATGATGAAAATAGCGGGATCAGTGGTATTATTGTTGCGTGGTGTAGT